AACATTCAAGCTTAATAGCATTACAATTTCAATGCTATCGTACACTCCAAAGAATATGCAAGGAGGAAACAAAAGGGTTACAGAACCTTGGCAATGTATTGTGTTTGCCTCCGGTCCCATCATCTCCATTCCTTCATCATCAAGTAATGAAATTCCCGATGATGTTATGTTGAAGAAGAATCCAACCGATGGAGATATTGAAGATTTTGCTATCTTTATCAGCCTTTGTCCTGCAAGCAATGTCTTGGAATTTTCAGGCAATGAAGTTCAGCAATCTTTCTTCTCAAAATTCAAAATTCACATATTAAGAATGGATCGTCACTCTTGACTCTTGCCAATCATAAACTTGTGCTTCACAAAGTAATGAAATTCAGAATCTTCTTTTCAAAATTCAAAATTCAAAGAAATGTACTAAGAACGGATCTTCACTCTTGACTCTTGTCAATCATAAATATGTGCTTCACAGCAGCATAAGTTCCAATCTTCATAGTAGGTAACACAGACCTGATCTAGATTCTAGAACAAGACGAATGCTAACAGCATGGGCCCACTGAATCCCTAAAGCAGCAACAAGATGAGAATCGAATTTGGAGGGATCTTCAGCACTGTCCAATCTATCTGCACTGCACAAGAATTTACCATGAAAACATTACTCAATAAGAGTTGGAGGCTTCTAGCTGCTACAGTTTTTCACACCATTTTTTGAAATTTGAGTCTTAGACTCTTGTTGTTTATGCTCCTTTATTTCTAAAAGCATTTCCAAGAATACATTGATTTTCGTAGACTACATTCGGGTCTTAAACCTACCATACTGAATCCTTTTCAGAGAACCCTTTATTATTCATTTAAAATAAAGGTTAATCTTAAAACAGAGGCCTCTGTCCCTTCACTTGGTCAAAACTTAGAGTTGCGCATACAAACATCTCCATTCAACACAGTGCCAGAAGAATCATTCAAAACATTGTGGAAAATACTTCACAAGTGAAAATGAATTAAGAATCCAAGCGGAGCTGGAGCTTTTGGAATATAGGTATGGCATTTAACCTTGAAATATATATCGTGAAGCTTCATCACGCCCTTGAGATCGTACTTGATTTGTCACAACTACGGGAATCCGGTAGCATTCTGCTAATGATCTGGATATGAAAATGAAAAATCAAAACTGACTAAAGAGAAAAAAAAAAAATGTTGTTAAAGATGTTCAGAAAGTCTCACTTAATAAAAGAGATGTGCCAACCTAACGGGTGTTGTCTAGAAGGTCCCTGACCAGAGTCCCTACAAAAAGGAAGATCAAGGAAAATGGAATAATGAACCAGTATTCGTATATGTTATATCAGAGAGAGACCAAATTACCGAGAAGAAAGAGCTGCCATGCTGTCTACTATAAGCAGCTTCACATTGTGCTGGAGCAGTGAAACCTTTATTTGTTGCAAGCTGTCAATATATGGAAAAAGTACAAAGAAATCATCTGTATATGTTAAATGTTAACAGAAATACAAGTGGAGAAAAAGGTTTTAAGCAACCAACAGGAAATAAAATGGAATTATTGTTCTACATAATCCTTGGACAGGGTTTTTCACTTGATGACAGAAGAACTTACTATACATGTCTCAGGACACTATTATGCATCAAAAAGAATAAGAATGAAAACCCTGTCAACAGTTGCAACTCCCAAGTAAAACAGTGTACATTTAGTTAGACAACCGTTCTTGAAAAGATCAGAATTTTGGCAAATTATCTCAAATCTCAAACAATGACAACTTCAGTATTGTTCGTGAAAAGGAATGGAGGAAACCAATAGTGAAATGCAGGTAGAAGAGAATGGATTTCACTTTATTTAGCTAATGTCACAAGTTGGTACTGAGATAAAAGAGGATACTTTTGATAAATATTTAGTATACATCTAAAGATAGACAGCAGGAGCCATCCCAAAATTGTCATCATTGCAATTGCACCTCACATTCAATGACATTTTTGGAATTCACTCTCATTCATGAAGAAGACAAAAAAGACTTTGATAAACTATGTCCTTCAAAAATGATGGAATGAAAACTGATGCAATTACGCCTCGTAAATGCATATGCCATGAGATTAAAGAGGACAATACATACTTCTATAGCCTATTACCATTAGATGAACTAATATAAACCATATAAGATCATAGATGGAAATATACTTGGCCATTTGATTATATATTACATTCCTATGCATTCTGAGTTTAGGAAGTCTAAGTAACCAAACCCCAACGCACACTGAGCAGAACCACTGAATTTGATCAGAAACCTTCACCATCAATCCAATGGTTGCTTGCTCATGGTCCATAAAGTCATATTGAGCACCTTACACCTAAATATCAATTATGGGATTTGAAAGTCTAATTTTTAGACCATATACATGCAGATGAATTTTGACACAAATATCGACTATTTCACGTTCCATTGAAATTGTAAAGTACAACACTCTCTCTTAGACTAATCAAGGACTTTGCAAATCTTAAAAGACAGCACTCTTAAGTCTTAAGGAAGTCATCTCATCTTTTTACAAAATTTCTGATATTATGTTATGCATTCAGGTATCTTCTTTCCCTGCCCAATCCTGTGACTAATACACTCAATACAGCCACAAGTAACACAGGTACTGATTTTTCTTACGTGTCAGTGAATTCAGATAACGATGTTGGCCGCAAAACTAGAATCCTTCCAGCCATCTGCCAAATAGACTTTATCATACATACATTCCAGGTATGACCAAAGACAATTTATATACATTCCATGCATCACATGCAAAACAGGAAAAAGACAAAAAAAGAACATTGAGTTATAAGTTGCCTACCTCTTGAGCAAGGCCTTCCATTTGAAATATTTCTGGGAAACTACTAAACCCCATTTCTATCAATCTAAAAGGCAAGTGCAGAAACATTTAGAGCTGAGCAAGAGTAGCTTGATTTAACTTGGCAATTGAAAACTAAGATACCTTCTTGAACTGAACTTGGATTCTACATCAACATATATTGCACGGCCGCCTAAGCCTCCATAAGAAGTAGGCAACGACGCTAGTAAGGCAAGCTTCAGGCAAAACTAAAAGTTTAAAATGAATAAAACAAGATTAGCAAACAAAACAAAGACAATGACAAAGTGCACGATTTTAAAAGCTCATCACCTCCAAATATAAAATTCAGAAGGAAAGGAAAGGAGAGTATGCGTAGCTATTCAAACATTAAAGTTTTGCCATGTTAAACAAAATCACTATCACTTGATCAAAGACGATACTAAATTTCAACTAGGAAATTAGAACGTCTAACAAGTCAATGGAACCATTTTAACCAATCAATCAGGTGTAACGCAGAAACATTCAGACATACGTCATTGAGCTACCTGTGTTTTACCAATCCCAGCGGGACCCACCAGCTCCGTGACAATTCCAAATGGTATTCCGCCACAGAGGGCTTCATCAAGTCCTTTTAAGCGTGTTGGGAGATGGCCCGCCAGGTTCTCATTACGATTCCGTTGATCCAACAGTGACATAGCCTGATAACAATATCACAGAAACAGTTTCTTCTCTAATACAGAAGAAGGTTACTGCCAAGAAAACCAATCGAAACAAAATTCCCTGCAACTTAACCGGAAAAACCCACCGTCTGATAATGTGGGCACGTGAATTCACTAATGTGAGCCACTGCTAGCATTACTTCTTCCAGCCCAACATCCAACAATTCCATCAGCTCGAACTCACTCAGAGAAAGTGCATCCTAGAAACACAAAACACCAATTTAACAGACATCGGTTGAAATTACGAGACGGACTCAAATGGTTGAACAATTCGATTTAGTATCAGAAATTACATCCCCAAGTCCAAACCGCTTCATTACAACAGGATGCCGCAATTTCAGCTAACTCTAGCATCAAACAGTGTGCGACGAAAAAGCAGATCTCATGAACCACAACATAACGAAGAACTAAACTTGCAGAAATCTTCAAGTTTGGCCCGAAAACATTTGGGTAAAAGGAACAAGTGATATTCTTGCGCAATGTAGTCGTAATCGAACACAACTTACCTTCGAGGTGATGATATTGCGAGCAGCGAATATGTTGGCAATTGATCTTGGGAGACCCATCTCACTGATAAGCTTGTTCGCCATTTTCAAGATTTGTGAGCTTTTGTTGAATTTATTAAAGGAGACCCTTGTGCCCGGGAAATGCTTCGTATGCTTGTAAAGTGTAAGGCAAATAAATGATAACTATTCTTTTTTCCCGGTTAATTATGGGTTATAATTTATAAATAGGGGAAATGATAAAGTTATGTTACCAAACCATTATGTCGAGATTTGCAACCGTTACGCCATCATGTAACCCATCGTGAATAGTTGATCTAACGATTACAAACCCTGACGGAATGATTTCGTAACGGGATCGTAAAATTTCCTAATAAATATATACAACTGTAATCCTAAATTCATTTTACTAATCAATTTCTAAAACAATTTTTTTTTTTTTTTTTTTTTTCATTCTACTCGTTAGCCAACAAATAAGGCCAAAATAAATTGAAGAAATTACATGGTAGACTATCATCTTTATTATGCATTTACAATCCTTTTATAATTATTAGCGAAATTACTACAGTTTATATATTTATTTGAACGTATACTAGAAGTTCAATTTTACTATATAACTTTATTAAACATATTTATCGACGGTTGGGCTAGCATCATACTTTCTTTTTCACACACCAAATCCATAGAAGCATCTTCATGTTGGGCTAGCAATTAACAATTAACATGCACTTTTTTATGTAGGAGATCGTGGGATCGTCGAACATGGTTTACATTTTTTTCTGATTGGTTAATTTTATAGAGATTTAAGTATAAAGGCGTCGTCGGAGTTGGTCGAATATACAGTGGCCTTCTTTTTTATCTCTGCGGTTGTTTTTTAAAATACAGCGGTAGACTCCACTGGTTGCGTGTTCCTCCCCTCCTCCTTCCCAGTAGGGAGGTCAAGTTGGTGACGATTAAGGCGAGACACGAAGCTTGGGCTCGTTGACGTGTCGTCAGTATATAGACGACATATTTTCAGTATATGGTTTTACATCCTAGTATATATATATTTTTGGCAGTATATATGTGTTGTGTGTATAGACAGTATATTTTAAGTACATGTTTTTACATCGTAGTATGTATAAATTTTTAGTAGTATATCGATAATATAGGTTTTATAATCTAGTATGTATAATTTTTTTTTTTTACATCCCGAGAGCTTTTATAATATGTTTTACATATCAATGTTGTACATATTTTAAGTATAAAATTAAATAAGAAATATAAATAAAAAGTATAAGAAAGAATCAGACGTCACAATTGTGGTTAGATTATGTTATGTAAATAAAAGTGCAACATATACTAAAAATAAATTGATTAATTATAAACACAACCTATACTGAAAATATTCTTTGGCCATGCCTGTAACTGGCAATAGTCTCGCACTTCATGGAGGAAGACCAGAGGAAGCCCTCGTCGTCGTCGGCACCCAGTGAGGAAGTTGTTCATCGCTACCCCAGATCAATCAGATCCGTTGCGTTGTCGTTTTCCAGTGTCACCGTGAACGAATTTAATTTCTCGGGCATCTTCTCTGTTCACAACCTCGACAGTGGACATTTGGAATTCTGCATCGGGGAATGATTCTTGAAGCCGACTGTCTTCTTGTTCTACAATCGAGATTCGGTGGGAATAAGTAGAACATGGTAGTCCAATTCATTGTTGAGTTGCTTTTTTTTTTTCCAGATGCAATCTTCAACAACATATTTTTAAATGATTATTACGTACTCCCTCCGTTTCAAATTACAAGTCGTTTTGACTTTTTTGATTCATCCATTTTGCTATGTATCTAGACATATTATTGTCTAGATACATAGCAAAGTGGATGTACCGTAAAAGTCAAAGCGACTTATAATTTGAAACAAAGGAAGTATCAATTATGGAAATTATGGAGGTGAACGTTTTTTAGAAATAAACTAATACGTATCCCGTGCGATGCACGGGACAGAGATATTAAATGAGTTATTTTCAAAGCCTTGTCATTTAAGTCTAAAAAGTAATAATGTTATTATCTATTTTCTACCTCTTTTAATCAACGTTAAGTCTAAAAAATTATTAAGCCGCCCTCTTGCAAATATGTATGGAGTTATGTGTTAGTGTTTCATAAGTCACAAACATTATGAATAACATTACAAATTATTCATTCAAACTTTTATTCATTGCAAATATATTAAAATAGTTTATATAACAACCATTAAATATCACTTTCAATATATTTATAAATAAAAAGTATATAAAATTTCTGGTGTGTTCAAATTTAAATAATTTTTTATGGGCTCAATTTTAAATCATTCAGACATTTGGTCAAACGCATAGGTGTGTTCAGATTTAAATCATTGATATTTTGGTCGGTTGAAATTTAAATCATCTACCATGGTACTGTGATGTGTATTATATATATATATTATATAATTTTTTAACAAATAATATGTGCTTTATAAAAATAATAATAATAATTTCACAAGATTTTAAACGTAAAATTTGGTTTTTAATCACAATAGAAAAATCATGGTAAGTTGTAATGAAAAGGTGTTATGTGATAAAACAATTAACTAAAATAATTAAATAAAATACTTGATGGAAATAGAATGCATTAATTACCTTTTACTCTTCTTACTACTAACTAGTACAGAGCCCGTGCGATGCACGAGGTGTGCAATTTTAAGGTCATTTATCCAGCCTTATAATTATATATAAATGAATAAAGAAAAATATACGGAATATATATAGTACGTGATCTGTGCGAGGCACGGATATATTTATTTGGGGATTATTATACTATACGATGCAATATTCAATAAAAGTTTTACAATACACGAAAATATATATAAATAATGTAAATATCTAAATACATACACGATATGTGCAATAAATAAACCAAATTGCAAATCTGAAAATATAATTTAAAAAAAAAAACAAAAATATATTTCACTAAACATGTACAAAAATATCTAAATACATACACGAAAAAAAATATACGTTTCAAATTTCGAAATTAAAACAAAAATTCAAATAATTTGGCTTACAATTTTATTATGCGGAACCAACTCGAGAAATTATTTGTATGTGCTGCCCCAGTCTTGGAAAAACATTCTCACAATTCGAACTTTGAGCATAGGTCTATTAGACCTATTGACTTGTTTGATTAACCCAAATCCTTGATTCATTGTTTTGAATAAAATACTGATTGAGGATATTTTTTGTTCGCAGGAGGTTGATAGTGAGGAAGATGATAACTTGATATTTTGAGATTTGTAATTTATAATGGGTAGAGTAGATATATTATGTTGTTAATATTTTTATTAGAAAATCTGAATTTGAATATACAAATATCTGTACTGATTTTGTTACAATTAGATAATAAATAAAACCTTTTTTATTTTAGTAAAGATTTTACGTACTTTTTTTACTTATCGGATGTTATGGAATTTTTTTTTTGTTAAACCGATTTTATGGGATATAAAACAAATATAATTAGAGAATTGAATAAAATTAGAATAGATTTCCATACAATTAGATAATAATAAAGAATTACATAAATAAAAGAAGGAATTAAATAAAGAATTTTGAATCTGCCCTTTTTTTAGTATAGATAGACTTTACGTACAAATTTTGACGTCACCGATTTTATGGAATTTGTTTTGACAAAATCGATGTTAACATGGAATAAGAAAAATAAATAAAGCCTTTTTTATTTTAGTAAATATTTTACGTCTTTTTTTTACTTATCAAATGTTATGCGATTTTTTTTCTTAAACTGATTTTATGGGATATAAGACAAATAAATAAAAATAATTAAATAAAACTCTGGATAGAAATAACAATGCATTAATTACATTGACTTCTTAACCTACTAAATTTGATAAATAGGATACATTATTATATAAGTATAGATTTTGATTGTTTTTGCTCACTCGATTTTATGGGATTTTTTATGCCAAGATATGAAGGATTAAAAATTAGAAGTTCAGCATAAATTTATAAGAAGGATTTTTTTATGGGATTTACGTACAAAATTTTTTATGTTAAGATGTATAAGAAAGATTTTTTATGTCAGCATAAATTATAAATGCCTTAATTACTACTTGATAAAATTAGAAGTTCATTAATTAAATTTGACTTTTCTATCTATTATATTTAGTAAATAAGATCCCCTTTAATATAAGTATAGATTCTAATAAATAGAATGTCTTTTTATATAAGTATAGATGTGCATGTAAGATTTTTTAAACTATTTTGTAAATAAAACATGTCTAAAAATAATTAAACTTGACATATGTTACGTATATGTGAGT